TCTCACCCAGGGTATAGGTCGGTCTTGTTTTCAGACTTTTTCATAAGTCTCTTTTCTTTCTTTCTTTTTATTTTTCTTTTTCTTTTTAATTTTCTTTTTAATTTTTTTCGTTTTATTTCTGAATAGTGGATTGATACTGATTTGAAACTAAGCTTTTTGGAAAAGTTTTTGACATCAGTAATACGAGAAGAAGAAAAGTAGAACCCCAAGTTTTGGCATGTGAGGTGTTGAAAGCAGGTTTGCAGCCACTTTGTAAGTCCTGGGTTTTACCTCTAAAACCTCTGACAACAAGGAGGGTTGGTGGTGGAAATTTCAGCACAGTGTTTCCTTCTGGGTTTGCCCTGAAATTGTTCTTCTGTGCCCAATGGTTCAAACAAACCAATTCACATATAAAGTCTCATCGAGAACACAACACGTGAGATAAATTAGCAGCTTTAGTGAAGGTTATACCTCACACATTAAGCTTACAGGCCTCCTATTAACCTTATAGACCTATTATCCTCACCCTGAGGGGTGAGATTTCATTTAGGACACTTATTTCTGCACAGACCACAGGGAATCACATGGATGCAGGGAAGGTTCTGAGGAAAAATGGACTCTTTAATGGCTCTTTGCTTGTCCTGCCTGTCCAGTCACAGGTGGCTGAAAAACTTGTAAATCCAAAAATATCTGCAATTTATTTACCTTTGCAGTCTTAAGCTTCCAGGCTGGGAAATGATTTGTTTTTGCAATTAAAATAAAAAGGTCATCAGGACACTGTTTGTTTCTCTTTGAGGACTTGGTAATCCTTGTTGTGTTAAAGGATCTGTGAAGAGAATGAACAAGGATTTCAGGATTTGCTCCACAGAAGTGTTACCTAAAGACAAGACTTTCTCAGTGCCAAAGAGTGATTCCCCCCCCCCTTCTCCTGCCTTTCAGACCTTTTTTTGTTTATTGAAGCTGAATGCCTTGTTTGACTTCACAAGAGAACAGGATATAGAAAATGTCATTGTCTTAGTTGCTAACGCAGGAGGTGAAAAAATTCCTTTGCTTTATGGTATTGAAAAGTATGGTTTGCTCACAGGGACACTCCTTGCTGTGTGTTCCCTTAGTTTTAGTCCTTATGCTGAACTGATTGACATAATTCTGCCTCTTTTAGGGAGAAAAATCTTATGGGACAGGCAACATAATCTGAATTTCTTCTCTCTGCTGCCTTTCATGTTACAGTGATGGCAACGAGGAGACTCAGGTGGATTAGTTTCAGCAGTGATCACAGTTCTAATGTGGAATATCCTTTTCTCCCTTTTTTTTTTAAATTAAAAAAAGGAAATAACTCCACTTTGATTCTGGTGCACATTTCATGTCTAGTCCTGAGGCTGCACACTTGCTGTGGCTGCACTTGGCTCCTGTTCAGGGTCATTGCTCTGAGAGCAAATTTGGTTTTGAGGCTCTGCCAAATATGTTCAGTCTTCTATTTCAAAATATACCTATTGATTTTAAAATATGTATCTTTGTCATGGCAAGCACTGTGAAATGGCAGATAAAGAGCCACTTGTGATAATGTGTCTGAAGACAGGAAAAGCAGAGGAATGCCCAAAGTGGGAAGGGATGTGTGTGTTTGCACCAACAGGTGCAGCCTCTCCTGCACTGAGGTTATCTCTGTGTGGGGAAAACTGCAGTCCCAAACCCAGGGAATGCAAGTGCTTTCACCTTTGAAAGCCACACCAGGCGACTTTGATCACTAAATTACATTTTTCCCCCCAAAATGAAGCACAGTCATCCCAGAGATCTCCTTTGGGTGTTAGATACACATGTCATTGGCTTTGGAATAAAATGATAAACCCAAAGGGGAGCTAGAAAAGCACAGTTTATTCACTATAGCAGCTTGTTGAGTTCTTACTTAATTGACCCAATTTATTTATTAATTCAAAGGAAGGTGAGTTGGCTCAAGACCCTGAGAAAACATAGGTTTTACTATGTTCCTTAGTATTTGCTTAGCCTGAAATGTTACTGAAGCAATTACTGATTTATCCCCCGAACTAGATGTTAAATTTGTGTATTTGACTGTTCCAATGCAGTTTATACCTCTGCTGTAGTATATGTCATACTTTCTTACGTAATTACAATGGAGGAGACACTGACCTATAGATGCGGTAAAATAATTGCATATTTATGGATGGTAATGCCAAAATTTATTATATATTTCTTTGATTATTATAATTTATTACCTATATATTATAATTTATATAAGGCTAGAGAGGTTTTCTTGCCTTTTAATTTATATAAGTCCGAGAGGTTTTGTTGCCATTGCTGTTGAATTTGGGATTGTTTCCACAACCTAATCTCATAGCCACAGAGAGGTGTCTCTGCTAAAGGGAGGAGAGTGTAACCAAGTCATAATGGACACTGTTTATTTACTTTTTAAAAGTATAAACCACACACATATTCATACACAGAAATACTTCTAGGAAAAGAAAGGAGGAGAAATGATTTTGCAGAGCAATAAAGATAATAACTTCAATATCACACAGTGCCTCACTCTAGAACAGCAGTACCATCACTTGCTCTTTAGCTTCATGCTAAAAAAGCATTTTGTTTAGTGATTTACTATTTTTTTCCCCCTAGGAAAATGGTTGATCTCTGTCCAGGAGATGCACCGAACCACGTGCTGAGCAGGGTGAGCTCAGTGCTTGCCATACCCGTGCCATGCTGTCCCTGAAGTGCCCAAGTTTTCTTTACATGTCTCTAAAAAGACGTTCTTAAAACACTTCTAGTATTGCTGTGAGAAGATAAACCTTGATGTTAATCTATTTGGAGGAGAAATCTTCAGTTTTGGAGCCCTGTGGTTCAACGTGTGTAACAATTTGTTGGTCCAAGTCTGTTGCACACAGGCACACCCAGACGTGCACTCGCTGCCTTGGGCTGGGCACGAGGCTCAGTTACCTCTGAGTGACACTGATTCACCTGAAATGGGGAAATATTGGGGCTCAGAAACCCAACCCTGCAGGTCTGTGTGCTCCAGCTGCTCCCTTTGCAGGCACCTGTGTGCTGCACTCTGCTGCTGCAGCTCTCTCCAGGGGTAAAAATGACGGATGGAAACTGATTCCGTTTACCAAAACACCCCACATAGCAATGGGTTTTCTCAACTCAAAGTGGCTGCAAACTAGCTCCTTAAATATTGTCACTGAAATGAATACCTAGATTTAATAGTTCTTGCCAATCCTATAAATGTTTTTTGAAAGAAGCATTGCATTAATGCATGATGATAGAAAGGAGAAATTTGCCTTTAAATTGGAATGCAAAGTGACTGAATTCTCCAGTTTCAGCCACTGTATTTGCCAAAGAACAAGCTGGAAAATGGAACTGGTATCATTCAGCTGCTCCTGGTTCTCTGGGAGGTTTGGGGAAGGGACTTGCTGTGGTGATAAAAGCAGAATAGCTTATTGACCAGCTGTAATGGCCACTAAATTCTACAACGGTGGTGTAGCTTTGCTTTTTCTTTCATTCCACATAGAAAAGCTGTAAGAAACAGCACTGGTTTAAAAATTCTTTATCATCAGTCACAGATGTCTCCAGCAATCCCCAGTAGGTGATTTACTGGGAAGTCGGCTGAGTTTTGCTGTTAATCAAATATATATTATGGCTGAAAAATCATTGCTTCTGTTACATTGAAATAGCTTAAACTGACTACGATAGTTCTAGCATCTCTAAAACTTTTAGACTTGTGAGATTAATATAATATTGTGGATTTTAAAACAACCCCAAGCAGCAAAAAGGAAAACGTATTTTTCCTCTTAATAATAGGGATTACCTCGATGACAACAGTAACTAGCTGAGCAAACATATTGGGTAATTATGTATATTTAGAATGTACAGTTTGTTTCCAAAATGGAGTATTTCAGTGGTTCTGGCTGATCAGGTGTGGGCAGCAAACAGGATCTCCCCCCAGGAAGCTGAAATCTGACTGTGCATTCAGTCGGTTACTCCTCCATGAGCTACAGCTGATTGAATCAAATAAAGACCCATGTTTGTCCCTCCTGCTTCCCCTGGAATGCTGAACCTGGTTTGTCTATTAAAATTCCTCCTTGGCAACTGTTATGGTGTTCCCCAGAAATCTTCAGGGGTTTGCTTTAATCATTTTCATGTCCCTGAACCAGACTGAGCTCTGGGACCTGCAGAGTTACAGTCAGTGCTGGAAATCTCCTGCTTAGGATGGATTTTTCACAGGTGTCCCCCAAGCTGTCTCTATGTCAGGGACTAATAAATCTGAGGGAAATAAGTCTCAGGGACTGAAAAAGTCAAATTGCAGAACTTCCCTGTCCTTGGCCCAGCACAGACACTTCAGCCCTGGTTTGAATCTTCAAAGCCACCAGCTTGGTCATAGTGACTGATACCAGTTCCATTTTGCCTCCCAACTCAGTTGATTTTATATTTTATTTCTCATTTATGATGGAATAATCAGCAGCTCTTTTTCTCATTTATTTTCTCATATTTTTATTCCAGGATTTGCCTCTGAAGCAGGGAGTGTCTGCATTAAAAATGACCTGTAGTTCTCTGCTTCATAGGTTAGAAACTTATTTTAATATTTTGTGGCTAAGCACAGTCCCGACTTCTCCAAAACAAATTAAATTTTCCAACAATAAATGGTTTAATTGGCATTGGATGTGGATTCTGAGCATTTTGCTTTGGGGCTATTTGAGATGAAATGGCTTCTCCAGCAATAATTAGTCCAGCTGAGGCGATGAGAGCTCTGTTTACTCGCAGCCATTCGTACCAATTAATATGAAGTCCTCAAAACAAATCTGATTGCAGTGGATCATGCTAAGACTTATTTGGACATTTCCAAAGCATTGGCTAGGCTGTGTCGCTTTAAGCATCTCCATTCTAAAAGCTAACCAAATTCCAAACATTTCTGGGGGAAAGCAATCGGTTCCTAAATCACCTTGATCTCACTGGGACTGCTATAGCCAGCACAGCCCCAGCCATGGCTCCTGTATTGACTTGTGAATTGTACACCGCAGATGCTTCTTCAGCTCCTTCCTCTTCCTCCATGGGCGGTGCTTGCAGCTCCTTTACCACCTCTTCCAGTCCTACCATTTACTCTACCTCAGTCACCGACAGCAAGGCTATGCAAGTGGAGAGCTGCTCCTCAGCCGTGGGGGTAAGTACCCGAGGGGTAAGTGACAAGCAGATAACCAGTAACACAGCCCAGCAGCACCAGTCAACGCCGAAGCGCCACACAGTCCTGTACATCTCGCCACCACCCGAGGACTTGCTGGACAACAGTCGGATGTCCTGCCAGGATGAGGGCTGTGGATTGGAGTCAGAACAGAGCTGCAGTATGTGGATGGAGGATTCACCCTCCAACTTCAGTAACATGAGTACCAGTTCCTACAATGATAACACTGAGGTGCCACGTAAATCGCGCAAACGCAACCCAAAGCAGAGGCCAGGGATCAAACGCCGCGATTGCGAGGAGTCCAACATGGATATCTTTGATGCCGACAGTGCCAAAGCGCCTCACTATGTCCTTTCTCAGCTCAGCACGGACAGCAAAGGCAACTCAAAAGCAGGAAATGGGTTGGTATCTGCTTTTTTTTTTGTTTTGTTTTTAAAACAAAAAGTTCTATCTCCATTTGTAAACACAAACTAATAAAGGTCCTCCCTGTGCCCCAGCAGGTTCTCACATAAACCCCCTCCCTTCTCTGCTGTCCCTGTCACAGCCTAGCCCAGGATGAGTTCTTCTTGCTCACAGAATGGCTGCCCCATCCCTGGAAGTGTTCCAGGCCTGGTTGGATGGGGCTTGGTGCTCTTGAATGGCTCCAAAAGCAACCTGATCTAGTGGAAGGTGTCCCTGCCCATGGCAGGGGATTGACTAGATGACCTCTAAAGGTTTCTTCCAACCCAAACTGTTCCATGATTCTGTGCTAAGTTCTCATTAGAGTTGTTAATCTTTATTTGGAATCTCAAGCTAAACTTTCCTGCAGCAATTAAACACAGCTTTGATGAGCTCATCTGTGCTCTTTAGCTGCAAGTCCCAAAATGCCACACAACTCCATATAGAGAATGGCAATGGAAATGTGTTTGAAAAGAAAGGCAGAGTGGAGTGGGCACTCCCTGAAACTTAATGGTTGTTTGCAGGATTTTGTGTGAGGATTTCAGTCTGTACACTTCACCTGCTTCTCTGTTCATCACATAGAAGTGAATGGTTAATGACTCATTAGGATTTCTCATTGTTTAAAGTAACACATGCTTTTACTTTTTTATGAAATGTTAATCTGGTGAACCAGGTTTTGTTTTTCTCCTTGTGAATTCACTTCTGTATTTGATTTTTTCAGAAATAAACCTCTAATCCTGTTTCTCTCTGTGCTTCTGGGTCGTGTGCGTGTGTCTGCGTGGGCACACCTGGGTGGTGGCCTCTCATCTCCCACCTCACACTGATCACTGAGTGCATTTCAGTACCTGCTTTAAAGAGGAAAAATCCATCAGTTTGCTAGAGTGTGTCAATACATTTCCTTTTTGTTACATTTTTTAACTCGTTGCTTCTTTTTAAATGGTCAGATGGATAGATTTCACTCCTTTATTTTGGGCTTTTTGGGGGGCAGGAGTGTATTTTGCTTTTACTTTTTCTGTCTGTGCTTGCAGTACATTCTGGTGTTCATCACAGCAGTGCTGAGTAGTAAAATTTGGCTGATGGGAAAGATGATGAACTT